AAAAAAAAAAAAAAAAAAAAAAAAAAAAAAAAAAAAAAAAAAAAAAAAAAAAAAAAAAAAAAGTGTATGGCTTTGATACAAATTCTTGATAGAATGTTCTTGTAACAAGGATGGGTGACTAAATCAATTATAATAATCTTTTTATGATCCTGATTTCTCTCGCTAATTTTAAAATTTTTCATTTAAATTATTGTGTTACTTATTTTCTTATTTTTTTTTAATTTATCTATTTATTTTTGTCGTAGTAGTGGGAGCTCAACAAAAGAAATAGTAAAAGAAAACATATAATTTTTTTATCAAAAAAGAATTCAAACAAGTATTTTAGCTCATAATTGTTGATAGATATGTATATTCATACTCTCTTTTAATATGTTCCATTCCCACTATAAGATTTCCACACATAACAAATTATTGATGATCATATATTCATTATTCATATTGGCTTTTATTTTCAGGTACGCAGTTCAAGTTGGCAGATAACCATGTTTATTTCATTCATCCCACCCTGTCTCCAACCCTAACACTCAGGAACGGTGAGGCCGCAAGCAGCAGCAACCCGTTTGCCGCCAGTAACGTAAGGCTTGAATTCTGGATTCTTGAAGTATCCGCAAAGGCACGGCGTCTGCTCAACCATCTTCTGGCAACAAGAGCTCGTCGGCGGTGTCGATGACGTAATTGCAGGAAGACATGGGCTGAGCTCCGAAGGGTTGCAGTCCACCGCATCGGCCACCGGAGCACCAGTGAGAAGCGCCATCGTCGCCACCGCCGCCACCAAAACACAGAGACTTGAAATTGACAATCTCTTCATTAGGTTGATTTTGTAAGAGGAATGGTGTTAAGGTGCATGTTTGGCAAAGCTTTGGGGCTGCATTTATAGTCTCGTGGAAGGGTTTAGGGTTAGAGCAAAAATTCTTTAACTAGAGATTGAGATTGAAACGTATAAGTTATAAACCAAATTACCTAATCTGATAGGTTCCTTAACTAGACATTGAGATTCAAACGTTTAACTTATAAACCAAAAGTACTTCAACATGTACTTAGCATTTTGAATTTGCTTACTTCAAAATTACCTGATAATTAAAAGAAAAAGAGAAAAAAAAACACAAAAGACACTTTTAGATTGCTAAAAATTAAAATATTAAACTAGCTAAATAGATAAATAGTATCTGGTACATCTCACCTATTAAATCAATAATATGTCCTAACTAGTTGAATTATGATCACTAAACTTCCTAGTTTGTTTTATTAGATTCGTGAACGTTAAAATAATACTTCAAGATCTACCTATTTTCAATTTTGTGTCTATTAAAATTTTGAAATATTAAAAGAAATGGAAGTTTGTGTGTGATATGGTCCGAACTTTTCAATTTGTGTCTACTAGACGACGAGACTCCTAAATCAGCTTTATGCTTTTGACCTAATTTATATCCCATCTATATCATGAATCATTAAGATGGCAACCTAAATTAAAATCAACCAATATACCAGAAAGTAGTGACTTATGAAGACTATCATAAATTAAAGCAAATCTTGATAAGTATACACAACAACACAATTGATGAGAGAATGTATACTTTTACACGATGCACTAATTTCTTGATTCATTTCTATTCCCTTTTGATATGAGATTTTCGCTATCCATCCTTCCTTCCTCACCCACCTAAAGCTTAAGTTACAAGTAGTTGGTAAACCTTCATTTTGTGTCTAATAAATAGGTCATTCAAGTTAGGTTTATGGATTTTCCGAGCAGATTTAAACTCCGACATTCTTTTGCGACATGATCACGTTACTTAATCTTCGATTCTTAAGAGTGAAAACTACCATCATAGACTAACACAAATCTAGGAAGTCACTCAATATAGATTTGCTCCAAATAAAGCATGTTTAACCATAGAATTCTTATGATTGAGCCATCCAAAAGAAATGTGCACCTTGTTAGTATAGATCTTTAATTCTTTTAAGCCTTTTTTAATCATCCTATCATCAAGATCTCTCATTTGGATGTAGTCTTGGATCATTAACGTACTCATTTGTTAGAGTGTCACATACTTGAAGTTTAAAACTCAAGACCAAATTGATACAAATTTGTAATTGAAGTTATAATTTAATGTCTTCTGCATTTAATTTTATTAATCTATTTATAGTTGAAGAATATTACTACACGTTCTCTACCTAGTTTATATCCTATTTCTCACAAAAATTAAGAATAGTTTACTAATTTTGGGGGAATTACTTTGATTTCAAAATGGCAAAAGTAGTAGTTTAAACAAGTTAATTCTAAATAAAATTAAGGACAAATAAGGAAATCATTCATTAGAGGTAGATGATACTATTTCTAATTCTTCGTCGGATCAATAGTTACGTTTCCTAATAAAATAATTTAGCGATTAATGACTTTCTAGAAGATGATATTTTTAACATTACCTTATTGGAAATGTTATATTCATAAAATTTAACTTCTATTTTCTTTTGTATTTAAAGTTGAGAACTAAAAAGACAGCGTTTAAGGTTTAGATATTGAAATAGAATAAAACAAAGCGTATTTATAATTAGTTTTGAGAAATATGTATACTTAAATTTTAGTTAATAACTTAGGATTTGTTGTGTTTAGGTACTCTCCATTACTAAGAATTTTAGCACCACCACATATTTTGGTTTTAAGTATTTTCATACACAGCATATTAGATCAACCAATGTGAGAGGCTTATGTCGAAATGCTTATAACTTAGTTAAGAAATGAGTTCAATTTGAGTGTTCCATAACTTCCAAGTGCACTTTGTTGCCTCGACTAATATCTATGATCCCGAAAAAAAAAAAAAAAAAGGGATGAGAATAAAATACTTTATAGGCAATTTATTTGTAGACTCTCATCACATCCTTATCCTAGTAGATATCTACAACCTTTACTCTAGGTTTTAAAAAGTCTAACTCTAACCTCTATTTTTATCTGAGTCTCTAGGAAGGCATCGTAGTTTTGTATAGTTCTCTAGATGCTCGTGGACCCAATTTGGGTTAGGAGGTGGTGTTTCACCCATTACAGACATGCTGAGCAACAAATCAATATCTAGGGTGAGCTATTTTATGATCTCTAACTTAGGTGACTTGGTTTGCTTATCCTGTGCATGACCAGCATTCTCGGTTGAGGTACTACCTTATAAAAATTCTAGGGGATAGTATGATGTGAGCTAATCTGAACATCATCCATGGAAGGTTAGCTGGTGGACCTTCTCACGAGACCATAAAATCACTAAAATTTGGGAGATACTTATTACTTGGCGAGCTACCTTAGTTGTCCTTGGATGTTGTGGGGGTTTACTAGGTTCTTAGCGGCATCTAGGTAGTTTGATTCTCAACTATTGTTTTTAGGATGTTTAGGACTGAATCCTCAGCTAATCCATACTTTAGGTGTATGCAATTCTAACCTTTTGATCGTCACTCACAATCATAGAGTGATCAATCTACTAAAAATGTTCTGACCTGGGTTGAGTCGAATCTACTCTACTCTTATGTCCTAGCATTAACTTATTCTCTTGTGCATGCTTGCTAGGGATGTTATCCTATCAATCACCTAAAGCATGGTATACATAATCTAAAGCCCTAAAAACATAAACTAAAACATTCATGCAAACAAACAAGTTCAAGGGAAATAACAGCCATCAATTGACTAAAGCACAAATCAAAATAGTTCATCCTCTTTTATAACACAATGAAAAACATTTAAAACTACATTCATCACAAATCTCATCATAGGGGCATTTTGGTAATTTTTTATATCTTACATAGTTTACTCATCCTTATTGCTCAACTTGTATTCCTGTCATGCACATTCTCCTTCTAGCGGGATAGAAAAATAAAAACAGTGTGCATCTCAAAATCTTATCCTATGATGGTAATTTTTCATATCATACATTAATGCATTTCTATCCAAAATTGCCCTTTTGTAGTCTTAAGCATGAATCTTCTAACCACCTAAGATAAGAAATGCTCTCATGCTAGCACATCCTAGCAATCCTTACAAGTATTTATTGCCTAAAGTTTGTGTGACTACTTTTCGAGATGTAGGGTGCCTCTTTGAGCTTACTTTTTTTGCTTGTTAGAGACTCTAAATTTACTAAGAAATTCATTAGTGTGTCGTAGATCAAGTAAAATTAAGGCTAGTACCGAAACTGAAAGGAAACATAATTGAACAAATATCAAACAATAGAGAAAAGATTACTTAGGTGTGGGTCACATGCTATACACGCACGCATGGAGGTTTTCACACCCGTTTCCACATGCACGTATTGTCACGATCATACATTTTCGATCATGCGACGCAGTGATCTTGATACGCTCATGACAAGCCTTAAGAAGAAATTTTGTGAGTCAATAAGCTTGACTTAGCAAAACAAGTTATTAACTTGGAGTGAGAGTTGCGATCTTGCATTGCACATCGGAAGGTTTTTAGGATATCTCGGGTTCTAGTTCTAAGAGTTTTTTGTTAAATTATGAGGCACAACTAAGGAAAAGTTCTTAACATGTACGTCCTAATGAATATGAGTCATAAATATTTCTTTGCATGCATAAATCTTTCATAATCATCTTGTCATTTGATATTCATAAAAACCTTGATTTCTTTTAAGGAGTTACGAGTGATGACACTAATTCTTCCACACACATTAGTGCATCGGTTAATTTTTTATTTCGTCCACACGCTTCCACGTAGCTCCTTTGGAGTGGTGGTTCCGCCACAATACCTTAACAAACGTAATATTCTTGTTGCATAGCGCTTTCACTTCCCGAGCTAAGATTCTTATGGATTTTTTCCTCGTAACTCAAAAATCTTCGTTGAGTTGGAGGGGCTCATAATCTATTACGTGGATAGGGTCTGTCATGAATTTTCTCAGGATCAAAACGTGAAATACATCGTGTACTCCTGAGAGGGAGGGAAGTCGGGCTAACTTTTATGCCACGGAACCAATACGCTCGAGAATCTCGAAAGGTCCGATGAATCTAGGACTCAACATTATCTTACGTCTAAACCTCAAAACATCTTTCATGGGTGCCACTTCAAGGAATACTAGATCTCCTATCTCAAACTCTAAATTTCTACATCTTACAGCGGTGTGGTTTTTCTGTCTACTTTGAGCGGTACGTATCCTCGCTCAAACTTTCTAGACAACCTCATTGGTAGCTCGAACGAGCTCGAGTCCTACTGACTTTCGATCACATACCACGTCCCAACAGAGCGAGGACCTACGTTGTTTTCATACAAGGCCTCAAATGATGTCATTTCAATAGTGGCTTGGAAGCTATTATTGTATGAAAATTCCATCAAGTGGAGCTTGGAATTCCAACTTCCCTTAAAATTTAATAGGCAAGTGAGTAGCATGTTCTCTAAGATTTGGTTTAGGTGCTCCGTTTGACCATCTATTTGAGGGTGGAAGGCGATACTAAAGTCAAGACGAGTACCTAACGCTTTTTGAAGTCCATGTCAAAACGTCAACATAAAGCGTGGGTCTTGATCTGAAACTATCGACACTAGGACTCCATCTAGTCTTACTATCTTCTTCATATACAGTTGAGCCTAGTTTTAAACTGTATATATTGCTTTCCTAGGTAGGAAATGTGCTAACTTGGTCAACCTATTGACAATTACCTAGATCACTGTATAACCCTTCAGCATTCTGGGTTGTCCTACTATGAAGTCCATTGTTATATTCTCCCACTTCCACTCCAGTATACTTAGGGGTTGTAACATCGCCGCTGTGTTTTTTCTGGGAGCTTTCACTTGTTGGCATACTAAGCATTTACTTACAAACTCGGCCACGTCTTTTTTCATGCTTCACCACCAAAAGTGTTGCTTTAGGTCTTGG